CTATGAACCCATAGGGGGGGGAAGGGGGTACCTAAGGGGGGGAGGGGGAAGTGTCTGCCAGGGGGTCCCATAGGGGGAAGGAGGATGGATCCATTGGGTGGATGGCTATGGGGTGTGGGGGAAGCTCTGGGGGATTGCCAGGTGGGGGGGAGGTGGTGTGTCAGGGGAATAGGAGGAGGAGGACCCCATAGGGGGGCAAGAGGGGTCACTAAGGGTGTGGGAAGGGCGCTTGGGGGGGAGTGGTCTGCCAGGGGACCCCCGTGAAGGGGGGAAGGAGGATGAACCCATGGGGGGATGACCATGGGGCGATGGGGATATCTGGAGTGGGGGGATCTCTGGGGATGGCGAGGTGGGGGGGAAATTGGTCTGCCAGGGGGATAGGTGGGCCCAATGGGGGCAAGAGGGGGGGCTAAGTACGGGGGGGGCGCCTAGGAAGGATGTCCAGTTGGGGGGGAGAGTCATCTGCCAGAGGGACAAAGGAGGGCACTATGGGGGATGGGACAGAGGATGGACCCATAGGGGGGGCAGGTAAGGGGGCAAGAGGATGGCCCCATAGGGGAGAAAGGGGTGGCTTAAGGGGGGAATGCCCGAGGAAATGATCTGGGGGGGGGGCTTAGGGGAGTGCCCCGTGAGGGGACAGGGATAGCCAGGTGAGGGGGGGTGAGAGGGGTGCCTGAGGGGGCACCTGGAGAGGGGCCAGGTGGGGGAAAGGACTCTGCCTTTGGGGATCATCCTCGATTTCATTCTCTGATCTATTGCATTTGTTTTTCTCAGGTGGAGTATCTTTACACACTGGTCTACCAAGCCCTTGATTTTATCTCCAGTAAGAAGTGAGTAACCCCCTCCTTGGGAAGAGAGGAACGGAGAAAGGAAGGGATAGGAAAAGAGGAAGGAGGGGAAGAAAGCAAGGGAGGAGGGAAGGAAGGAAGGGAAAGGGAAAAAAGGGAAGAAGGAAGGAAAGAAAAAGGGGATAGCCAGGTGGGGAAAGGCGATAGGAAAAAAGGAGAGGAAAGGAAGAAAAAGAAGGAAGGAAGGGAAAGGAGAACAATCCCTTCCAGTAATGTGTTTGCTTAACAACCACTGCACTCACTTAACGACAGCTGCAAAAGTCATATAATCAGCTGCAGTAACGATGAGGCTCTATGACGGTTGTAATTTGAGGACCGCCTGCCTTTTCTGGAATAAACTCCGCTCGTTTCCCTTCTGTCGTAATCCTTCTTACGACTCAGGCGGGAGAAGCAGCCCACGTCAGTCGGAGCGGATGGGACCGATGGGGATGTCAGTGCCGGACCAGGAGCCGCAGCGGAGGAAGAAGAGGTGAGCCCCCCGGGTGTTGGATCCAACAACCACAGCAAACCATAAAATGCCTCCTTCGGCCGTTGTGAGACGCTCACAGGGCACCAGGTGGATCCTAGCTCTGCGTTCAAAGTTTTACTGCGCCACAGGAAGTCTCATTTCCTCCCTTTTGCCGAAGCGGTTGCCACGGAGGATTTGATTTAAATCAAGTCGATTTTAAATTGTGATTTAAATCTCCAGTAAAAAGGCTTGGCTTAAATCGACTCAATTTAAACCATAATTTTTTAAAGAGCAGCTGTCGTCTCTCTCCCGCCACCAGTTGACTCACCGACAGTCCCAATATAGCAGAATAGGCAGTAGAATCCTCACGCTACATAACAAAGCTATGTGGCGCAGTGGTTAGAGTGCAGCACTGCAGGCTACTTCAGCTGACTGCAGTTCTGCAGTTCGGCTGTTCAAATCTCACCGGCTCAGGGTTGACT